TGGCAACTTTCAAATACTAACCAGATCAGGTATCAGAGCCCTTGTTTCTTAAACTTTCAAAGACAGAAGATGAACATACAAAAGAGAACATTTTGTTTCATGATTTTCTTACTATAAGCCCTGTCTGGTAAAGGCCAATAAAAAGAAAACAGGCTGAATCTCTGTGAATTACATCAGCAGGTCCAGAAGCAATGATGGCTGACACACCTGAACTCATTTCAATCATCACTAAACTTAAAACAGGAAAATGGTTGGCAAAGTTGTTCCCTGTCTTCCTCTGGAGAAACGACTTGAAATAAATATAAATTTGAATTTTATATGAATGATATCTCAAGAGTTCGTTAGAATGATCGTCATACTGCAATTTTATGGCTTATCCAGAAATCAAACAACTATAGTAACCAGATAAAACTGCTTTTTTTTTTTTTTTTTTTTTTTTTTCCTGTAACATATAACAGTAGTTGGAGTTTTCTACTTGTGACCTAAAGGTGTGTCATGGTCTTGACATTTCTTCAGAAGTAAATATTCAATTCAGTAGTTTCTGTGTTTGTAGTTACCTGTATTTAACTTGAACTTTGTTTATTTACTTTGTATTTATAAATCCTTAAAAACTGGCAATTCAGAAATGTTAGGTACAGTCATCCTTATTTATCCGGAATATTTGACTAACCAGACACCTAATTATGTTTTGAGTGGTCCTAGCTATGCATTTAATGAATGTTCTTATTTTGTAGCCAGGATATGTAATACAGGTGATTCCTTTCAGCAACAGGAACTGGACAAATCTATATGCAGGGGTTTTGATCATCCTGAGTTTAGAACTCATAATGGAACAATTAAAAATATGTTTGTTTTCCTGAATCCATGACAAAATGAACTTTATCCAAAAACCGGCTGTGAATGTTGGCAACACATGGGCACTCTGCTGACCTGAAAGAATGCAGGAACAGTCTGCATTTTGCACACATATTTGTCGGTAGAGTACTTTTTTGGTAGAGAGGAAGAGAAAATTCTGGCTTCTTTAGAGAAGTGAATGTAGGCAATCCCTCCTCCAAAAGTAGTCAAAATACTGCTCCGGTGAACCTTGACTTTATAAGGGAAGGAAGCTTCTGAATCATTGAAAGGCTTTTCCTCCTTAATTCTCACTGGCTAGCCTAGAATGGGGCTCTGCTAAAAATGTTCAGGCAGCTGTTGATGCAGGCATTTCTGTCCTTTTTTCTAGTAACATAATGTGCACACATTAGGGAGATTCTCCACGTCCTTTATACCTTACCCCTTTTAAAACCTTCTTCTTGGAAAGTAGATGTGGAGGATCTCCTAGGCTTGGAAAAGTTTCTTTCATAGCTTTGTGTAGGTTTGGTATTCATTATATTATTTGATTTTCCCCCCAATACTACATAAAGATGAAAAATGTGTTTAGGTAGAAGATCCTCCTAAATAAGAAGGAAGAGTCTGGAAAGCTATTATCTGGGTTATATTACGACTGTGATTTTTTTTTCTCTCTCTTATTGAATAGTGCTCAAGGTAAACACTTTTATAAGTAGGATCTTGATTATTGAGGTAAGAAGTATAATCCTAAGCAGTGATAATGGGGGAAATTTGAGCATATTGTATTTCCATAGGATCAGCATACATTTTTGTGATGTCCAAATTACCTAGCCACTTCTTTCATTTTCTCCCCAAAAAAGGTCTTTAGAGTCAATTTTCCATCAGAAAAATTATGTGAAAGAAGTATTTCCACATTCTGCTATGCCTTAGGGCATCAGTTGTGCCCAAACTCATGCTTGCAAGGCTGAACGGTTACTCTGCTTTTGATGTCTCTATTTGAAAAAGCTTATAAATCCAAAGAAATCATGCCCCCATTGGCATAGTCTCTGTTATGCAAAGGAGACTTTCAGAGATTTAGGCTCCATCTGTCATGTTCATTTTTCAGATAGACTATTTTTTAGATCAGTTTTATGTTCACAGCATCAAGATCACCTTTTTTGGGGGTAGGGGCTGGTTTATACCTACTCAAATTTTGTTTAGCTCTTTGGTATGACCAGTTTCTTATGGAAAGAAGCCTCCTCTGACCACCATACCAACCTTCCAACTGTGTCTTTTTATGTACATTAATAGCACTCTGTCTTTCCTTCATAGTACTTATAGATTGTACTATGAAATAATACATTTGATACAATTATTTCATTCATCTCCATCTTCCTTACCAGCCTAGGGCAGGGACTCTGATTGTTCGCTATGGTATCCTAGTATCTAGCACAGTGCCTAGGGGATAGGAGAGGCTCAGTAAATTTCTCTTACAAGGATGTTGCTAAATTGTAAACTCTGCCAAGGCCTTTATGTTGAATGAATGAATGAATGCCTCTAACTCTTCATATAATAGACGCTTTTTGAAAAAAAATATGCTCATGGCAGACCTCAGATGTAATCATGCTATTAACTGGAAAGAAAAATGAATTTAGATGGGTTTATAGAGATGGAACAATATTTCTAATATTCAAGCAGTGCATAAATCCTTTATACTTAATGTTAAAGTTCAGTATGTAATACCTAAAAAAAGGTTTTACTTTATGAACCTGGATCAAGGCACCTACCAACTTTTCCTCTACTCATAAGCAAAGTCACTATCCTACTTAAGTAGGTCTTGGGATGTTTTCATCCCAAGAAACATCTCTTCAATCACTGCCTTGTATTCCACCTTCCAGAACCATCCAGAAATTCCAGTAAAGTCTTATCGACCAGATTGTCATCTTCACTGAGTTCCTTTTGAATGCAGCAAATTGCTGTGCCTTTTTCTGACTTCCATTTCACTTTTATCCAGCTTCATAGGAGCTTAGGCCTCTGCTTGTTGAAGAGGGCGTTCAGTTAGCAGTGCCAAGGTCTGGTTCTAGCTACTTACAACTCAGAGGGGTAGTGAATGCTTGGATGTAGGAAAAAGGACATTAGACCAGAATATTAAAATTGCATTTAGATAGTCTAGAAATTAGACAGTTTGCATAGCATTAGAATTCCCCATTTAATATTTATACATCCAAAAACTGACAAAAAGAATGTCTGAGCTCATGTCTGACATTCAGATTCCTCCACCAAAAGGCAATAAATAAAATAATAATAAAATGTAAAGACAAACCTTTCTTCTCTGGCCATAATCTATAGGGGGCACAAATAATAGATATTTTCCTGAATAATGGAGTCTGACTTTCAAGAAATGCTTAGCCAATTGTAGATTTAGGCAGAAAAGGTTTGTGCAAGCATTTGAGCTGGAAAAGGCAGATATTTTTCTTGCCCTCACTTTTCCTAAAGTTCACAACTTCTGCTACTTAAATGGCTATCTCATCTCCAAGTGTGTGAAGTAACAGATGTATCTGTTTTCCATCCTCAAAGAGTTAACTTGATAAAATAAGTACAGCTAAGGACAAACACAAACACAAAATGAGAAAACTTCATGCAGTATGTTTTGTAAAGGGTGTCAGTGGCATGGAGCCAGCTGATTCTGTTGCAGTCTTTGGCAACATGGCCTATTTAAATTCAAGTTAGGATCTGAGTGTTTGTGTAAACAGAAAAAGCTGAGAATGGGAGGCAGACACATTTCTTCAAATCCCATCTGATGCAGGTTTAGATCCAGATTTTATCATTTGACTAACTCCTTCCTTTTTTAGATGATTTGGATTTGCCTTTTTTTTTTCTTATTATAGAAGTCAAAATGCCAACCACTTTCAGAGTTCTTTTGCTGCTCTTTTTTGTTGCTATCTTTCTGTAATTAACAGGCCATTTGTAGAAGTAAAACTGTAATACAGACAGGAGTCATAGCATGTAGTGGCTTTAGCAATTTGTGCAATATCCATCTTTTTGTCCTTCCTGCCTACTTTCCCCTTAGAAAGCAACCAAGAATTGGCGTTCAGAGGGTGATGCTCTGATGGTGAGCAGATCTACAATTCACTTAACAGTTTATTTGAGCCAAATTTATAGTTTCTGAAGAGCTAGAAGGCTGCTGCCCACAGGGACTACTTATTAATTGGCCATTTTAAAGAAAATGAAACAAAGTCCTAAATTGCTAACGATTAAGGGGAGAGGAGTGTAAATTCAGTTATTGTCTGGTTTTCAGGCAGTGGGAAAACAAGGGATTGGTAACTGTTATTTGTAATAGTGATTGATGTCACAAAAAGAGTTTTGAGAATAGGGAGTTTAGGAAAACAATTGATCTCATTTTATTTTTAGTCTGTTAATATTTAGTGTAATATTTGATCCAGTTTGATTTGGGTTTGCTGTTCTATGACCTATTTTTATTTGCTGTATTTTTGTTGTTGTTTTCTTTCTTCTCTCCTGCCTTCTTTTATATTGTTTACATTTTTTTCTAAATTTCACTGTAATTTATCTATTAGGCATTTAACTATATCTTTTGGCATTATTTTTATGGAGTTGCTCTAGGAATTGCAATGTACATCCTTCAATACTCACCATCCACTTCATGGAAATTATTGCAACCTTACAAATGTATAAATCGATTTTACCCCTTTCATCCCATTATAATGTATATTATAAGCCCCATACAATGGTATGATTTTTACTTTAATATTCTCTGCATTGTTTCTAGTTGAGTATATGTGCAATCAAAGTGAGACTCCCATTCATCTTTAATCTGTTTCTGATTGTTTTTCCAATGTCTTTTTAACTGAGACTCTTACAGGTGATTTTGTAGGATTCTAGGTGTTTTCGATGGCAAATACAAAGATTGTGTTTGTGTTTATGTAGATTGTGTTTGTGTATGTGTACATTTTCATATGTTAGGGCCAATCTATTGAAAAGAAGCATTGCAGAATACTAAAGCAAAATTGAAACCACATGGAATTTGTAGTTGTTTTATTTTAAAAGCTAACCTTGCAAGGTCTTTCAAAAAATAATTTTAACTTCTAAGTTTTATTTTTCTATTTTAATTTTTCCTGGGCCTTGCCTGCCAGTACTCCACCACTCCCTCTCCTTCTTCTGTGTGATCCATAAAGTCAGAAATTCCTTGTTGGGATAATTTCTGGCACTACTTTGGAGATGGAGCCCCTGAAAACTGGCTGTGGACCAAATGGATTCCCACTCTTGGGGATGTCTAGGTCATCATCACCATCTGAACAGCTCTGAGAGAGACAAGAAGTGGAATGTCCTAATGGAGAAGGTGATTAGTTAATACCAGAGTTGCCAGGGGAACAATTGTGAAATCCTTTTATAGAGTTCCTGATGAAGCAAACTCTTGTTAGCCATTATCTTTACCTTTCCTTTCTAAAGAAAAACATTGTTTCATCTTGATTATCCATTTCTCAAGTACTCATGGATGTGAGGCCAGGTACCCTGTCACCTTGGCTCTGTTTGGGATGCAGTGTTGTGCTTTCCTGCACTCCCCACTTCCCCAAATCATCTTTAACATAGACAATTCCTTCTTCAGATTCAAAGTGTTTAAGCTGAACTAACCTCAAATGGCCCTCATTACTTTACAGACATTTGAATAACCATATTCATTTCTGCTATTTGAACCAAAGCTTTTTCCAAAAAAAATCATCTAGCAAACTAGTTTTTGCCGGGCCAAATATTAACAGGTGTATGTATGCATACATAAATATTTGCCTCTATGTTTTGTGGCGTTTTTGCTTTTTTTTTAAGACAGTCTTGCTCTGTTGCCAAGGTTGGAGTGCAGTGACACAATCTCAGCTCACTGCAACCTCCACCTCCCAGGTTCAAGGAATTCTCATGCCTCAGCCTCCTGAGTAGGCATGCACCACCACTCCCAGTTAATTTTTGCATTTTTAATAGAGATGGGGTTTCACCATGTTGGTCAGGCTGGTCTCGAACTCCTGGCCTCAGGTGATCCACCCACCTTGGCCTCTCAAAGTGCTGGGATTACAGACATGAGCCACCATGCCCAGCCCCTGTTTTGTGTATTTATGTAAAATACATGCTGCCAGGGCTTTAAATTCTTCTTGAATTTTAAAACTAGAACTAAACTAGACATTGAGAGGACCCAGAAATACAGCCTGACTAAAGTGGGTGGTATTTCATTTGGCTTGACTCTTTGGTGGGAAAAAAAAAATCAGGCTCAGGAGATCTCAATTTAAGAAACTGATGGCAAATAGAAAAATGTTCTTGACATTTTCCTCAAAATAGATGTCTAAAGATTTTGCACTTTAAATTGGTACTTTATGTATTAAAAGCGATATTGAAACTAAATTTCTACCCAATTAGTTGGAAAATATGAAAAAAGCAATTGCCATAGAATGTAATTTATTAAATGTTGGTGACCTTTTAAAAAACAAATTCCTCTTGTAGCCAGTGAGATCAGTTATTTATTTATTTATTTATTTTAATAGAGACAAGTTCTCACTATGTTGCCCAGGCTGATCTTGAAGTCCTGGCCTCAAGCTATCCTTCCATCTCAGCTTCCCAAAGTGTTCGGATTATAAGCATGAGCCACCATGCCTGGCCAGTTAATGGTTATTAAGTGATAAAAACATTTCTGTGAATTCCACAAGATGATTGACTTTGGCATAGTTCATTTAAGACTCTGGTAAAATAAATCTCTTTCACTCTAATTAGGAAGCATTTTTGGGAACCTGATAAATGCTCTAATGTTGTGGGGCTGAAAAATATGTGAAATGTGGCCCTGCAGTTAGATGAGCTGAGATCACTATAGTACTATACAGCCCTCTAAATCCTAGATCACTGCAATGCTATACAGATCAGCTACTTGCTGGCTTTGTGACTCTGGGCAATTTACTTCACCTCTCAACAGGCATCTTTAAAGTGAGGAAAATAATGTTATTTTGGGAATTAAATTAGATGATGCAAATTGTTTACTGTAATTTCTAGCATGTAGTTTGTGCTCCACGCATTTAACTATTATTACAGGTTGTATTAGTATCACATTAAATTACCTACTGAAGTGAAAGTGAAACCAGAATGCTGTCATCGATTTAAAAAAAAACTCTCAAGCAAGAGCAAACAACGATATGCAAATGCCTCTACATTTTCCAAATCTTTGATCACTTGTCTATTTTAAGGCTTGTGAGGAAAAGATTGCTAAATTTATACAAAAGGAAGGAGATAAATGAGAGGCAGAAGAAACCGTGTGCAGATCAGCATGTGCACTTGAATGAAGTATTAGCTCCATGCAGAAAAGTCAGTTGAGGACAATAGTACTGTCATGCTTTTTAAAAACTGAAAGTACTGAGAGTATTTGTTGTTTGCTTATTACAGATTAAACTTAATAAAAATTTTCCTGTCATTCCTGCTTTCCCAGTGCTCCAATACATAAAAAAATCATGTGGAACAGGAGAGACGGTAACAGGCGAGAGGGTACAGGAATGGGCGTGGAGAGCAAAGGGAGCTATTAGTAAACAATTGTGTAGGCTCTGGGCTTAGGACAATGGGGCCCTGACTACTTTTCCACTGGATCATAAGTTCCGTGAGAGTAGGAATTTTTCTTTTTTTTCTCACTTGGTCAATGCTGCTTCTCTGGGTCATAAAACAGTGCCTGACACGTAGCCTCTTAATAAATATTCGAGAATTAAAGGAAGGCTACAAACTGGGAGATACTTGACAGTTAGAGAAGGACGTGCCTTGGTGACTTGAGCTTTTGAGGCTCACCTCCCTTGAGTCTGTCCTCTACTCTTAGATTTGGGGAGTGCTTACTGCACTATTAGTATATAGTATTACTCCCATCTTGCTATACCATAATACTATGCAGCTATAATTCAGCTAAATTAATAGAGTACTCATCTGGTTCCTCTTCATTTGACTAACAAATTAATTGTCACCAAAATCTGATGTCACTTTCAAGTTTGAGGCAAGGTCAGATGACTCAGCCACTGAATCTTATGTCCCATCCAGATTAGGACCCTACCATACATTCCTATTATCAGTTAATTATAATGATAATATAATGTATAATATAGGGGTGTCCAATCTCTTGGCTTTCTTGGGCCACATTGGAAGAATAAGAATTATCTTGGGCCACACATAAAAAATACACTAACACTAACTATAGCTGATGAGAAAAAAAAATCACCAAAAAAGTCTCATAATGTTTTAAGAAAGTTTCCAAATTTGTGTTGGGCTGCATTCAAAGCCATCTTGGGCCACAGGTGGCCCACAGACCGTGGGTTGGACAAGCTTGGTATAATAGATAACATATAATTAATACATCAATATTATCACAAATGCCAGAGTAAAGATGGGGATACTCGTCTCTAACAAAAGGATGGATATGGTAAAAGAAAATATATTGATTCTTTCTCAGGATGATGCAAAATGGAGAATATCAGTACATTAATTACATTTGAATATTCCTTCCATTGTACTGAGCTAATTCAATTGTTTTGACCCAAAATTTTGTAGTTCTATAACAAAAACCCACTTCCTCTTCAGTAATTTGAAAATGACTAACATATCTCTAATATACCCTGAACATATGAGCAGAAATTCAGTGATGTTGTGTTATTTTAAAATACATACCAAGTATTGAGGATGATTATAATTTTAAATTAATACAGTTATATTCATAATTAAGCCGTGATATAAATAAAGTGTTGAACAGAATTTCTTGAAAATATTTTTACTAAATAAAACCAAATGTAAATGTCCAGGTGTTGGGTAGAGTTGAAGTTTGAAAAGTGAACGAAATAATTATTTCATTAAATAATATTAGAGCTTCTTAAAGGCTCAGATCAATGCTGATTTTGTAGAGAAGTTGTATTGTGTTTGAGATGCTTAACTCTGGTAAAGTAATGTTTGCCCACGTTCCCCAGATTCCTTTGAATTAGCAGCAAAAGGTACTCATACATATCCTAAAGGAGAAGCTTATTTTCTGCTCTTTTGACATCTAATGAATTGTTAAAAAAAAAAAAAAAAAAAAAAAAAAACTAAAATAAGCTCTTGACTCTCCCTTTAACATAAGTGAGTGAAGGTGAGAAAACATAACTGAATACATTTGTTGGACTCATCCAATCTTCCCAGGCTTTCATCATCCCTGCTCTGACCTGTCAGAAAGTGGTGAGAGAGAGAAAAAATTCTGTTCTATTGAAAGCCAATCTCAAAGGAAAGAAGTGACAACCAGTCAGTCTCATGCTGAGAGCGAGGTCTAGTCATGAGCCAGGCTCAGTTCCTTTGCACCAGAGCTCCAGCTCACCCTACTACTAGGGAAGTCTAGGTGTCTGGGTCACTCTGAGAGGAGGAGTTTATTAAAATGAGTCCTCTCTTTTATAAATTCATGCTAAATTGTTTCACATCTAGTGGTAATTTCTCCAAAAAGCCTTCTATGACACCTGAAGCTATTAGAAGTAACCTTTCTTATTCTTTCTGTCTTTGAATTTGATCTCTTCTATATTATTATTATTTTTAGGAACTAACATTCATGAAGAATTTACTATGTTTCTGGCACTGCATAGCATCTTTTCTATGAATTACCTCCTTTCATCCTCCTAATAAGCATATGAAGTTTATTAACATTTGTTTTACGAATCAAAAAACTGAAAGCTCAGAAAACCTTTTTATGTTTAGAAACACTGTCCACTACCTGAAACACTGAAAAACAGAGTAAAAATAAGTACAATTAAAATTATAGATTCTTTAGCTTCTACTGAGCTGGTTTTAATGAGTTATGATGTTCTGAGTGAGTGTAGGGGTCTGGGGAGGAGAGATAAGGGAGGGAAGAAAATGAGGACTGAGATAAAAAGCAGAAAAAAAATGGAGGCAGCAAGTTTCCTGGCTCTGCAGCAGGGTTCCTTGCCAGCCTTGGCTCCTAGGAGGGAAAACTTGTGACTTACCACAGACCAGATTCTTGCTGACTTCAAAGACAGATGTTCACAAGGAAAAGATGCCAGCATTCAGGAGTGATGAGAGTCTGGCCAAATAATTGTCAGGAACTCTTAAAATGCAGGCTACTCATCTTGGGATGATTTTAAACAGTAATAAGTATAGGCAGCAATAACCCTAATGAAGTATGGGAAAAGAGAATGTGAGAGTCCCAAACTGAGACTATTCTCTCTCTCTCTCTCTCTCTTGCTCGCTTTTTTAATTGTTAGTTTTGACATTGGTTTTTCTTAGCAAGTCTATACACCCTGAGACATGGGGGGAGGCCAGCATAGCTGCAATGGTTTTGATCCTTCTATCAAAAATCAGACAAAATCCAAACCTAATTTAATCAGAAAATGTTAAATGTTTTTGACTGTATAATTTGCTAGCTATCTGTTTAGTCCTGACTCTATAATCAAATGCCAGAAGGATCCAGAGAGCAACAGCAAAGGTCATTTCTAGTGTCTATCCTCACCACACACCTCCTCACACATGTGTTGAGGCACCTACAAAGGCTTTGGGGTAGACCCTGGCAAAATGGAACAGTAAAAGATATAGTTCTTACGTTCAAA